GTTTTCACATAGTGTACCCCCATATAGAAATCAAAGACGTAGTCCTACGTCAAAAATAAACTTTTTATATTATCCAATTTCCCACAAATTAAATTTTCAAGACCATTTACATTTATTCCAATGTCTGCCATCCCGCTTTTAACCGCGATGTCCACCTGAGCAGCAATATGATCTCGCATGCCAGTGATCGAGTCCGAGAGTTGAAAAACCTTCTTCATCTCTTCCTCTATCCTTTTGACGCGTGAGATCAGATCATTCTGCTCGTCACAACTCTGATCTACAACTATCACACTTGAACAGAACATTTGCATTATTTGCTATAAGCCTCGCCACAGTTTTAGCATAGAGGTAACTCTAAGACTAGAAGGTCCCGAAATAACGTGCTCAACTTTTTGGCTCAGCTCTGGTACTCTCTTCGGTCCCAAGCTAATCGATTCACCCCTCGAAACATAGGTAAAAACAATAATCCCTCATTTTATCTGTCAAACTTTCATAGCGAATCAAAACAAACATTGCGTAGTACTAGAATTTCGACTAGAATGGGGTACGTTAATCGTTTGCTTGAGACCAATAGGCTAGTCAAGTAGTGAGCCAATTTTAAATCGTTAGTTTCGTATTGATTGTTGGTTTTAGTGAGTGCCGCACAAGCGAAATGGAACGTTCAATTGCACGGACCTACACATGTAACTGGGAGCCCACTCATAGCAATAGACTGCTCGCATACATTACACACATCCATTTTACCAAATTAAACGCTAACACTGTTAGCAGCAGACATATACAGGGGAGGAGAACACAAAATAAAATTTTACCGCCACAGCTCACTATACAGAAGCAATAGCGCGCCGGGGGGAAAATACAAAATTAAACAAAAACGAGTTGCTAGGCAACCTTTCCTCTACTTATCCTGTTAAAAAAAGCAGAACGGGCACGCGTTGAAATAGTCCTTTCGCGGCACACGACACTATTTCACACGAAATTATGAATTTATTTTCACAGCACAACTCAACAAAAACACTACTTTGTTCGCCATACTACACAGCAAAAAAATAATTTTGATATCACGTCAAAGTGGATGCACTACAATCATGTCGAAAATATGGTGTAATATTACTTGCTAAAAAGGACAAAATTATCATTAATACAATGCATGAACTGACATTATGCTGCTTTTACTGCATTTGTTTATTTATGTGGTCATAAAAATTACATGAAATTTTCGACATGATTGTAGCATAGAGGTAACTCTAAGACCACTGGGTCCCGAAGAAAATCATTATTATTTTTGGCTCACTCAGTACCAGAACAACGGTCCCAAGCAGTCCCAAGCTATTTCACTCACCCCTGCATGTTCTGCATGAATCCACACACCCCTTATGTTATCTGTCAAACTTTCATAGCGAATCAAAACAAACATAGTGTAGTAATAGAATTTCAACTAGAATAGGGTACGTTAATCGTTTGCTTGGGACCAATAGGCTACTAAAGTGGTGAGCCAATTTAAAATCGTTAGTTTCGTATTGATTGTTGATTGTAGTGCATCCACTTTGATGTGATATCAAAAATATTTTTTTGCTGTGTACAACTACTACTGGAGGGGAAAGCGGTGCCCAGTTCACAGCAGAATGGAGTGGCTGAACGTCGCAACCGCTATCTTGTGGAGATGGTTCGATGTTTGTTGTTTGAGGCTGACCTTCCGCAGTGCTATCATAGAGGTAACTCTAAGACCACTGGGTCCCGAAGAAAATCATTATTATTTTTGGCTCACTCAGTACCAGAACAACGGTCCCAAGCAGTCCCAAGCTATTTCACTCACCCCTGCATGTTCTGCATGAATCCACACACCCCTGATGTTATCTGTCAAACTTTCATAGCGAATCAAAACAAACATAGTGTAGTAATAGAATTTCAACTAGAATAGGGTACGTTAATCGTTTGCTTGGGACCAATAGGCTACTAAAGTGGTGAGCCAATTTAAAATCGTTAGTTTCGTATTGATTGTTGGTAGTACCGCGTGGGTTCACATACCGAAACAAAAACGCAAGAAGCTCAGCGAAACAGCCCAAAAGCTAACGTTTATGGGCTATTCTACGGAACATAAGGCCTACAGGTTCCTAGACCGATCAACGACGAAAGTAATTGTAAATCGTGATGCAAGATTCATAGATGGAACACCCGTAGCCCGTGGCCCAGAAAACACATCGAGCAACGAGGAGAGCGATACGGTCGAGTTCAAGTTTCATCAGCTGAAGCCGCCAGATCCACCAATCGTTGAAGAGGATGCCGATGCAGATGCGATGGAAGATGCCGTTGAAGATTTGATGGAAAAATCAGACGACAGTTTCCATGGATTCAGCAATGATGATCCTATGCTGATGGAGAAGAAGTTGGACAGCCAACGAGAAGTTCCGAGCGTTCAACTAAGGTAAAGCCACCAGTGAGGTACGCTGACATGATAGGTGCCACGACTCATAGCATCGACGATCCCAGAAGTTACAATGAAGCGATAAGTATAGCCCCGACAAGTCAGCCTGGCAAGCAGCGATGGAGGAAGAGATGGCTTCTCTCAACGAGCACCAAACGTAGGATCTAGTCCAACTGCCTCCGGGTAAGAAGGCCATCGGATGTAGGTGGACCTTCAAGAAAAAGAAAAACGAAACCGGCCAAACCGTGCGGTATAAGGCGTGGCTCGTTGCGCAGGGGTGCTCGCAACAGTACGGCTGTGATTTCGACGAGGTGTTTGCCCCCGTTGTCAGACAGTCAACCCTACGAACGATGCTGACGATTGCAAGCAGAGAAGGTATGCTTGTTAAGCATCTCGATATTAAAACAGCGTACTTGTATGCCGAGCTCAAAGAGGACATATATATGAAGCAGCCACCGGGATTTGCTGCGGACAACGGATGGATGTGCCGCCTCAGGCGTAGCATATATTGCCTCAAACAGTCGGCGCGCGTCTGGAATAAGAAAAAAGACAGTGTGCTTCAACAGATGCAGTTTCGTGCAGCCGATGCAGATTCTTGCCTATACGTGCGTGAGCGGAACGGAAAGTCAATGTTCATCTTATTGTCGCGCTTATGTTAAATCTCATTTGGTGACGGTCGAAGCGCGTCACTCATAAGCGCACTGCAACTCCGCCCATAAGGATAATACAAAGGTGTGTAACTTTGATAGTATTTTATGGTAGCGGCTTGATTAGAGAATCCTGGATAAAGAGCCGCCGTGCGTTAAATGAATGGGCGCAGTCGTACGGCCATAAACAGAACACAGATGGTATAATCCATTTTTGAGAAATTACCCTGCCACACACGATAATCTACGTTGATGATATCGTTGTGTTCTGCCATTCGTGAGTTTCAGGAGATCTGCAGTGTACTACAAATGCACTTCAAGCTATCCAGTCTCGGTGAGTTGCGGCAGTTCCTCGGCATCCACGTGGAGAAAGACAGAGATCACTACACGCTCTGTCGACAGAACTACATCGAGAAGCTCGTTACCAGGTTCGGACATGAGGGTGCGAAAACTTCCAAGATTCCCCTTGACCCGGCTTATGTGAAACAAAAGGAGGAGGAGGAAGAGTTACCTAACAACACTTCCTATTGTAGGTTGATTGGTAGTTTGTTATACATCGCGGTCAATACTCGTCCGGACATCTGCGTCAGCACATCGCTACAGGGCCGCAAAGTGACCAAGCCAACCCCGTGATTGGATCGAAGCTAAACGTGTCTTAAGATACCTCAAAGGTACAAAGGATCTGCGGCTGCATCTAGGCAGAGGAAGGCCTTGAATGTTTCGTTGATGCCGACTGGGCCAGCAACGAAGAAGACAGAAAATCGAACTCCGGTTTTCTCAAAAAGTATGGCGGCGGATAGGTGAAATGGGGCACGCGCAAGCAATCTTGCGTTGCGCTATCGTTGGCAGAAGCGGAATTCATCACCTTGGCGGAGGGATGCCAGGAACTTCTGTGGCATCTGAAGCTTTCAAAGGACATCAACGAGGAGCAGCTTCTGCCCATCTCTGTGTGGGAAGACAACCAGTCTTGCATCAAGCTAGTGGAGTCGGACCGCATTGGGAAGCGATCGAAACTTATCGATACTAAACACGCATTCGCTAAGGATCTGCAGTAACGTAAAGTCATCGATCTGAAGTACATTCCAACATCCGAAATGGAAGCGGACATGATGGCTAAGCCCTTGGAGCAGATTAAGTTAGAGAGACACAGGAACCCGATCGGCATCAGGTCCATTACCGATACCGTCTCGTTTAGGAGGAGTGTTAGACTCTTGTCATTTCAATCACAACAAAGACAGGATCGTTTTTATATCAGTGCTATATATGTTATCTTCACACTCTTCTTTTCACACACACAAGTACACTGATTGCTGTATACTTCAAAAAGCAGAAATAAAGTTTCATTCCGAGTTAGTTAATCAATCGTACTACACGTTGTTTCCTTTCTCTGTACTGCGCTTATCACAACAGAACTTTCGGTGGAGCGAAAGGATAGTACATGTTTCACGCACAGTCTGACGTTTGCTTATGGATTTTCTCATAGGAGTAAAGAGCATGTACGCCAATGCGTACATGCGTGTATGCGTCTCACTGCAGCAGCGACGACAAGAAACCTCAAAAAGGGGCGCAGCAAAGGGGCGCGTTTACGGTAGTTATGCTGCCGCAACCCTTTCAGGCCTGACTGCGACGGCAACACCGTTGGTCCCGGCTCATGTGGTTGATGGGTGCCACATCTACCCTGATGTGGAAGCTGCCTCCCTGGCTATTCGATTGCAGTCAACAATCGATGTCCGTCGGTGATTTGTACTCGATTGCGGAACAGAAGAAGAAGAAGATTGTTGGAAAATTCAATTTACATGTCGTCCACCTTCTCCGGACGGAACACTAAGAATCTGTGATATATAAAAAATGCAAACAAGTTTTTTCACACCGTTAATAATTCAGCGTTTTATTATACTAGTACAGGTGCGTTGCGCTACTTTGTTAGAATCTGTGATATATAAAAAAAATACAAACAAGTTTTTTTTCACACCGTTAATAATTCTGCGTTTCATTATACTAGTACAGGGGCGTTGCGCTACTTTGTTATATGGAGTTCATTTCCTTCGTTCAAGTCAAAAACTTCTTCCAATGATTGCGTTAACATTTTTGCTCATAATGTAAGTTAGGGATGATGCATACATTATGTCACACTCTAAGAGGGTGTAATATTCAGTGACAATCTTAATTTCACGTGCCGTAATTAATGCCGGGCCCCTTAGGATTGGTTTAAAATCAATTGTACAGACTTATTTGATGCGGGATGTTGAAACATAGTTGAGTATGACGAATTAACACCGCACCCTATTCATACAATACTTCTCCGTCAGTAGGTTCAGTACCAAAATATCTATCACCAAAATTACCGATACCGGGGATGACATAAAATTTCTCATTGATTTCAGGATCTAGAGCAGAAGTAACAATTTGAACTTTTGGAAAGGCGTATGCTATAGAATGAACACCAATCTCGGCCATCAACAGTGAAACTAACATTATATTTTTCTCTGGGACGTCATGATCGAGCAACACTCGGATAGCCATAATAGCTGAAAACATTCAAATGTTTAAAATGATAAAATTTAAACAAATGTAGTGTGATCTTACCAGCAGCACCAGTAGCAACAGTAGCGTCCATCAATATTACTCTATAATCTTTTATGTCCTTAGGGAGCCGTAAATAATACAGCTGAAAAATTAATAAATGATATATTTATGTTAGTAGGTAGCATTATTGATCCTAAAATAGATTACTTACAACCAGGGTTGCTTCCACTCACTTGTTATAAAAACATATTTTTCGGAATTATGCAATCATTAGATGATATAATTATATGCTGTACTTGTAAGTAATAAGAAGAGGGTTTAATGTATGTGTTTGACTCATAAAACCTGTCAATTTTGCTTTCAGATCGTCACAATAAACGATCTTATGATTCGTGAGCGTTCACTCAGAGTGAGCACTCACGAGTCGTAAAATTGCTGTTTGTGACGCACTGAAAGCAATATTGACAGATTTTATGTGTCAAACACATACTTCACGTCCTCATTTTGTAACTTACAAGCACTAATTATCACTATACCATCTCATGATTTCATAATTCTGAAAAAAAAAATGTATAGCAAGTGAGTGGAAGTAACCCTGTTTACAACAGTCATAAATTAGTTTGATTAATTGTAATATAATATAAGCATATTATCAAATATATCATATTAACAATATGATCCATTCATGCCTTTTCCAAATGTTGCAATGGCGACCCGCAAAATATTACCTCACGCACCATCTAGCGTTGAAAAAGGTCAGCAATAATCAATCAATTACAATCGAGGGGTGCGAATATAGCACTTATTACAAAAGTAAGAGTCAAATTATTTTCATTAATTACATTGTGTATATTGCTTTAAAATTTATCTGACATGTCACTGTTGTCATCAAATAATATAAAATGCTGAAATACATTCATTTGAAATACTAAACAAATTTTCATTTGGTTTACCCCTCGTGACGATAAACAAATACATTGGTAGCCTTTTTTGACCACAGAGGCGCTTTCATCGCTAAAAATTCGGTTCGCCAGCTAAGCGAAAGAGTTGATCATATTGTTAATATAATATATTTGATATTATGCTAAATAATAGCAGGCTCACTTCGTGCTAAAGTTGGATCAATCAGCTATCAACATAACCTTTATATATGTATGTTTGTCGAAAGTTTTTCAAAAAAGTACTGAGTTGTCGTCACGCTAATGCAAACTTTTTGTGTTATATTTGACAGTTCACAAGAGTGCTCTGACTACCTAGCAGGGTTACTTCCACTCACTTGCTATAAAAAAAAGTTTTTTGGAATTATGAAATCATGAGACATGAGGTATATAGTGATAATTAGTACTTGTAAGTTACAAGAAGAGGATGTAAAGCGTGTGTTTGACACATAAAATCTGTCAATATTGCTTTCAGTGCGTCACAATCAGCGATTTTATGACTCGTGAGTGCTCACTCTGAGTGAACGATCACGAATCATAAGATCGCTTATTGTGACGCTCTGAAAGCGAAATTGACAGGTTTTATGAGTCAAACACATAATTTTCATCCTCTTCTCGTTACTTACAAGTACAACATATCATCTAATGATTGCATAATTCCGAAAAGTATGTTTTTATAGCAAGTGAGTGGAAGTAACCCTGCTACCTATTATGCAGTATCTATTATAATCAACGAAACGATCGCCTTAGGGGTGGGGGGGCGGTTGTTTGTTTGTTGGCAATAATCCACGGCCCATACAAACAAACAAATTTTAAAAATTGCTGGGATAGGGGGAGCAAGGCGTTCCATATTAAAGGGTGATACGGTCAAAATTTGGTCAATATCAACTTGACGTACTTCTTTCAATTTTGCATTTAAAAAACCTGAACACCCCTCATTTTGAAGGTGTGTGTGTGTAGAATGTTGCTCCTATTTTGATTTTGGATTTCACTCTTCAGTTGTCAAAATGCCGTCCAAGCAAGAAGAGCAGCGTATCAAAATTTTGCTCGCGCATCGCGAAAATCCGAGCTACTCGCACGCAAAGTTGGCAAAATCGCTAAAAGTTGCCAAATCAACCGTTACCTTTCCTGAAGAAACACGGTTGTTCCGTACTGTTTTGGCCGGATTTGGCATCTTGCCATTACGGTAAAAAGGCCATGGAGTGGTACGCCGCCAACAACGTGCAGGTGGTTCCCAAGGACAAGAACCCTCCCAACACGCCAGAGCTCCGCCCAATTGAGAAATACTGGGCTATTGTCAAGCGGAACCTAAAGAAGACCAAAAAAACTGCTAAGGGCGAGCAGCAGTTCAAGGCAAACTGGCTTTCTGCGGCGAAGAAGGTGGACAAGGTGGCTATACAAAATCTGATGGCAGGGGTCAAGCGTAAGGCCCGGCAATTCGGATTTGGAAAAGCGGAAGCCTAACTGAATATTTTTCCTGAATTTTATACTAATTGAACTTGAAAAAGAAATTTAATTTGATTTTTTAAATAAACGATTTCACTGATTTACACGCGTTTTCCCTTGACCAAATTTTGACCGTATCACCCTTTATGCACATATATGGAGGGATAGCTGTACATTAGTATGCACACAAGCGCTGCATAGTGAGCTAGTTCAGAGTCTAGCATTCTGAGGGCCTTTATCACCTGTACAACTTTTTCGAAGATAGCATCTTCTTACACAGTCAGAATGTTAAGATATAGCAGCATATGCAGGAAGATCATATGGACGCTAGCGCTACGTAGTGAGAGAATTCTGAACTAATCTGTATAACATCCGGAAGACCTTGATCACATGAAAAACTATGCTGAAGACGGTAGCATTTCATATATCCAAGTTCACGAGATATCCCGTACTGGAAATATCATGAACATGTACCACTTTTTTTCTTTTTTCTTTCCTTTATTTAACGTCGGTCTCTGTTCCGCAATCTAGTGCCAATCACCGACGGACATCGATTGCCATCCATTGACGGTAATCGAATATGCAGGAAGGCAGCTTCCACACCTGCGTAGGATATCGCACCCATTCAACAACATACATGGGCCGGGACCAATGGCTTTACTTCCCTTCCGAAGGAAGACGTGACCAGAGATTTTTATGCCTCAGAAAAATCCCACCGACCTCGACTGGGATTGAACCCAGACCCATTGGGGTGAGAAAGCAGTCACGCTTACCAATGTACCACTTTTGCTGGCAACATTTTCTGGATGCGGTAAATTTTGTTGCACATCAACAGACACAAAAACTTTCGAGTTTATCAGCCAAATTTTGTTATTTTTTGTATGATCACATTTATTTAACTCCTCTGCAACATATTTATGCAATTTAGTTGAGAAAATTTGATGAATTGATTTTATTATTAAAGTATTTTGAATAAGAGCGTCTCCTGTAAAATAAACTCTAGCGGATTTAGTACCATTTTCGCTCGCAACGGTTCAATGACGTCGTGATTGTCTTTTTTGATACAGTTGTCATTCTTGTTTTCATCGCAAGGAACCAATTCCTATTGAAAAACAGACAATTGACACCGTTTTCAACCAGAGATTGCACATACTGAACACTTAACACTATACAACGGACAACATACAACATCAAGTGACCAGTAGGGAAATATTCGGGTTGCGAAAAGTTCCACCGGCTGGAGCGGGAATGGAATCCTCACTTCATGGCACTCACAATCCGCCTGAACTCGGGTGACGCCGCTAACCGCCCGACCACGAAGCCCACGGTCCCGCTATGTATACCCTTCGAAGGTATAAATAGCGATAAATAGCAACATAAAGCGCCCATTACACATATCAATATATTGACATTAAATTGACATACTGACAATAATATTGAAAAGGTGATATTGAAGACGATAATTGATGGCAAGTATTGACGAAAAGCTGATTTTAATTTCATTTTGTCAATCCTCAGAATGTATTGACAAAAAACCGTAAATTTCGTCATCAATATCATTAATATACGAATATTGACAACATTAATGGCAACACGTTAGAAGCCTTTTTACTTCAATAGTCAATATTACATGTCTCAATTCCTGCACACAAAAAAACATGGATCAGCGAACGAAAGTGTGTATAGAGTTAACGTTTGCATTCGGGTCCAAACAGAAACGATTGCTGGACCTGTTTGTATAGAAAATACTAGCTACACACTGAATTCGATTCACCGAAGGCGGTAAATTTTGCCAAACAAAAAAAAATCAACAAATTTGATTTGTATCTTTAAAAGGGGTTTAAAAATCTCCAAATTTTAAAATTTTCCACTGATTTGTAAACTTTTACCGAACAGTTCCGTAGTTTAAAAACTACCAAACAGCGGAGTCCTGATTTAGTAGATATATATAGAAACCAATTTTCACCCAACTTATACTTGCACATTTTAAATTATTTTCCAGGATTTTTAGAATAAATAGTGTTATATAATGATCTAGTCCAAGTCTATTCTTAAGTTCTCATATAAATTTAAAGGAATGTTGTTTACAGAATGATGAATGAACTAGGTGATTAATTATAGCATCCAATTTTATTTTTGATATCACTGAACTCTCCTGTTTCGTTAGAAGAATAACGTTTACCTAATGTTGCCCATACATATAATGCTTAGTTTTATCACAGACAAACAGACATAACTCATTGAATATTTCTCACTGTAAAACATCGTCGCTAAAACATTACCGCCATCTGTTGAGTACAGTGTGGTGGGTAGTACGCTGAACAGATGGCGGTAGTGCGTAAACGTCAAACGCAAAAGAATTGAGTATGCGCGCCACAGGTGGCGGTACTACCAACTACGATACTTTTAAATTGACCGTTAAATGCTTGTTCGATGAACAACTTGCGAGTGTTATGTCTGTTTGTCTGTGGTTTTATCTTAATGATACACTATATTTATCATGATGAAAATCCTCTTATACTTTCTGAAAAATTACTATTGATGATTATTAAAGTAAACTAATGACCAGAAGACGTGCAAGAAAGTTAATGTAATGTGTCATACAAACTGTATTAATGGCCACACATATAGTTTATTAATTAACATAGGAAGTACCGTGAACGTGAGTTATTTTGCGACTTGTCATTCAAATACCAAATGTTGTAACTGTTTGACAGGACACAGAAAATGCACAGGACAACAGATCACATGACATGTA